ACTAGCCTAAATCCATTTTTACTCAACAAAGATCTGAAAATAAGATTCTTGCGAATGTCTGGTACATGCAGCACATTTTTTAGAGTGAGTTCCTTTCTAGATGTCATCTTCAGAATAATATTTCCTTATCCTTCAACTTTAGAAGTTGAGGAGTTGCCTATAAAAAATTGTTCATCGTTGTCCACTGTAGAATAAGATGTGAACATCTTTTTGTCGGCACAGATATGGCGAGTAGCACCAGTGTCCACCCACCATTCTTTAGGATTTTTGACAAGGTTTGCCTCGGAAACAACTGCAGAAAGATTTATGTCATCAACACCATTAGAAATTTTGTCCACTTCGGTTATATTGGCTTGAACAAGCTTCTTGCTTGATCTTCCTTTGCCTTTGCGTTTGTTACGGCAATCTTTGGCCCGATGTCCCTTTTTGTCACAGATGTAACATTTGCCATTAAACTTGTAGTTTTTAGTTTTCCCTCTTTTAGAGCCTTGTGAGGAACTTTCTCCAAAAAACTTCCGTTTCTTGGCTTTTAGAGCATGTTCCACCATATTTGCCTTTGATTCCGTTGGATCCTTACCAGCCTGCTTCTCTGAATTGCGGTTGTCCTCCTCAATCCTCAAATGCACAATCAATTCTTCTAAAGACATTTCTTTGCGCTTGTGTTTGAGGTAGTTCTTGAATTCCTTCTAGCTTTGTGGTAATTTCTCAATAAGGCTGCAACTTGGAAGGATTCACTAAGAGACATACTTTCTATGTGAATGTCATGTAGAATGAGTTGGAGATCTTGAATTTGGCTGATCACAGTCTTAGAATCAACTATTACAAAATTCAGGAATTTGCCAACTACAAATTTCTTTGAGCCAGCATCTTTTGTTTTGTACTTTTTCTGCAGAAACTCCCAAAGTTCCTTTGCCGTTTTGATAGGACCGTAGACGTTGTATAATGTGTTATCAAGTTCATTCAAGATGTAGTTCCGGCAAAGGAAATCAGCATGTTTTCAGGCATCGACCGCAGCAACCACTTGCCGGTCAATTTCATCCTCTTTCAAAGTAGAAGCATCCTCACGGAGAAAATGAGCCAGGTTGAGAGTAGTAAGATAGAACAGTATTTTCTGCTGCCATCTTTTAAAATCAGTTCCTGAGAACTTCTCTGGCTTCTCACCGTGATTGACCAGCACAGTCACAACATGAGGAGGGGTTGGAGCAATTGCAGCCACCACACTAGTACTTGTCTAAGTATTAGTTTGACCAGTTTCAGTAGTCATGAATTCTAAATTATAAAACAAAATTATAATTAGAATTTTATACTACACAGAAAATTAAACTATAAACACAGAATTTTAAATTCTGTAAAAAAATAAAAGAAACAAGAATTGTAACTTTTATTTTCAATTAATTTGAAAATAAAATAAAATTTTATTTAAACAAATTAATTCCACACAGAAAATTAAATTTCTGTAACACTTTAATAATTAAAATATTGAAACAGAATTTTAATTAATGAGCGCTTAGAAATTATTTCTGAAAACCAAAATTAATTTCTGACAAACTTCACAAATAAATATTCTGAATTGTTAATGACACTAGTATATTACTACTAGTTGTCAAAGAAAATAGACAATATATTACTACTATTTGTTTTTCTAACCAGAATATTATTTTTAGAAACCATAGAAAATAATTTTTGTAAAAAGAAGAGAGAGAAAAAGAAACAAACGAAAAATTCTGTATAAATAGAATAATTCGAATTTGTCTTAAGATTGTTGGAACAATCTTTGTATAAAATAAATAATTTGAAACCAAATCAAATAAATAAAAAATAAATCACTTACAAAATTTATTTTATCGAACCGAATAAAACTTTAAAAGATCAAGTCGAGTGTGTGACACTCTGTCCTTAAGATAGATTCGCCCCGCTACGGTGCTTACGGATATAAGGTGTCTATCTCCCAGGACATAATGAGCTTCACAAATTGTAGTAGCACTTCAAACAATTTGTACGGCGAACAAAAACCTGTGTTTTATACTCTATGAATTTTTCTCTAAAACTAGAATGAAGAATAATGCAGTGAAAGAGCAAAATCAAAAAGGCGACAGATTTTTTTGGATGTTTTTCAGATTATTTTCAGATTCCCAAGACTGCTGAAATGGCTAGTATTTATAGGCATACAGAGGCTGTCCGAACAGGTTTGTTTTTTAACTTCAACAGGTGCAAAACCCTTGAACATATGCAGTTTGAAAAATTGGACAGATCTGCTGGTAACTGCTGGATAGATTTGAATCTGTCTGGGCAGTTTTATAACTGTAAAAACAGTTTGAACCTGTCCGGAGTTGAACAGATTGAAAAACTGTTCGGACTGATTAATCTGTTGTCGAATTCGGATCTGAAAAGAGGCACAAATTTTTGACAAAAATTTGAATTCAAATTCAAATTACATTGGCGCAAAATTTAAATTAATTTTTTCAGCAAGAAAAATAAATTTTGTCCCAAAAATTAATATAAGAACCGACCAGACCCACAACTGCGCTTGGCACAGCCGGCCAAACGACGGCAGTGCGTGCATATGGTGGTTTGAGCCAAGGTTCCATTTGTCTATAACTCCTCTCTTCTACAAACTTGGGGTGTCCCTTGGGACCCAACCCAAGTGTAGCCACCTAGAACTTATATACACACATAAGTTCTCTTAAGTTTCCAATGTGGGACAAACCTTACAAGGAAACCCATATTTAATACTTTAATTGTCAATTCCATGAACCCGAGAACGACATCAAATTCTCATTCACTCATAAATGGTTTTGACGAACCGTCTTCACCGTGTGACTTGCAATGTGGCAAGGAACACGTCACCTCTTCGGACCTACCCCAAAAGACGTTTAGGACCCACTCAAATTTGAGCTCAAAGTTTGTCCGAAATAAGCCTATAAAAACTAATTTTCCTACAAATATGAGAGAGTTAGGCCTAAATTTTAGGTAGTGAAGTAGGCATAGTTCCGTTTTGTTAGGACTTAATTTTCTTTATATGAAATCAATATTTAATTATATTAGATGAAGACAAATAATCCGGTTCAAATCCAAAGATAAAAATTATATAAATACAGTGGAAAAAATAAAAAAAATAAATCAAATTAAGGATAGAAAAATCAAATTCAAACATAAAGAAAAATGGTAGATAAACATGAAAAATAATAATAAATTTAATTTAATTTAAAATAGATGAAATGGTGAGGGGAATGGGTTAGGAGATGAACAAAACAAAATGTCACGTAATCTTTTAAAATTTTAGAAATTATAGGAAATTAGGAATAGACTTATCTAAATGAATTGTGGTGATGGATATGCATGAGTGGATTATGGTAATGGGAGTTGTGGGAGTTGTTGATTTATTTATTTGTTTTATTTAATAATTAGTGGTAATTCATGCGATGCACGGGTGTATATAATTTAAAAATATAATTGCAAAACATATGATGTGTTATGATTTTAGGTTTAATATCATCTGCACCGATTGTCTTTTATTATTTATTTTCAATGAAATTTTGATAATCAAAGCCATAAAAAGTAATTCAATTAAACAAACAAATAAATCAAAAACAATTGTTGTAAAGCATCAATAAGTATCTATGTTTTGCTATGATAAAAATAATATTCTACTACCAACCCACCAACAAAACAAAATAAAAAACTCAATTATTCAAGTTTCTTATTAAAAAAAAAAATAATTTGATATCAAATGCAAAAAAGCAAAATTAAATATTACATAAAACATATAAACTATGTGAACCCATTACCAAAAGATCATCGAAAGATAAAATTTTAAGCAAAAGAATATGGTGAATACCCCATGGCGAAGTTAAATTGCTCTGAAATTCTCAAATAGGAAAATGTTTTTAGTTTGGTTGGAAATTCATTATAAGAATGGTACAACAAATAATTTTCTTGCACATTTTTTTTTTTTTGGTAATTTTGATACATAGTATTCAGCATTGATGCAATAAAAAGAAATTCAAAAATTCTCTAACCGTCAAGTTTGGTAAAATTAAAATTTAGACAAAAAATGTAAATGTGTGAATCATTCAGCCATACCTGTAACGATATAAAATTATATACAGAAAGAGGGAAAATGCAAATGTGTGAAACTTTTCAGCCATACCTATAACAATATAAAATTATACATAGAGAGAAAGAGCAACATAATAGTTTTGTATGTGTTTATAATTAATTATAATATAATTGTTTATATAGGAGGAGAGAGATGTGAAATTGGATAGATAAATGTAGATTATCTTTATTATATATTTAAATTTAAATTTAATTTATTTTTATTTTGAATTTTGTTGATAGATATAGATTATCTTTGTATATATTTTTAATTCAAATATTTTTGAATTTTGTGATAGCTTTGTCTTTGTCCTCTTTTTTTCTTTTTCTTGTTGACACTACAACAAAATTGAATTTTTACGGCTTGCAATGCATGCCATAAAAAATCTTTCACGGCATGCATACAAATGACGTTATATGACATGCCGTGAAAAGTTGAGCATTATTTACGGCATACAGGTAAAGTTGTAAAAAGTAACAAATTAAATATTAATGACATACAAATTATGTCGTATAAAACTTTTTACGACATTTTTGTCATGCCATAAATCATCATACTTTCCATGACATAATTTTGCTTGCCGTAGAAGGTTATTTTTAATATATTTATGACATACTTTGTATGCCGTATATAATATTTTACAGCATTTTCTTACATGTCATAAATCATCACTTTGCACGACATAATTTTGTATGCCGTAGAAGGTCATTTTTAATATATTTATGACATACTTTGCATGCCGTATATAATCTTTTACGACATTTTCTTACATGCCATAAATTATTACACTTTTCACGACATAATTTTGCATGCCGTAGAAAGTTATTTTTAATATAATATATATATATACAGGAATATAACATTGCCTAACAGTATATAGACAGTAGCTTATAAAATGCAATCTGTTAACAAACCAAGCAGAAGCAACAACTATGAGGTAAGCAAAAAAATCTAATATCCATACACCAAACAACCTGCATACTAACTTTCATCATCAACTTCTATCATATCAAGCTAATAACAACCTCAAACATACAAATCAAAAAAAGTATTCAAATCATAAGATTCACTAATCTCTAAAATATGACTTTAAACATCCAAAAAGTATAACTACAAATTGTAAATCAGTTAGTCTAATATTTAGTCTAAAAGAATGAATTGACTAGGCCATGCAACTGTACTTCCTATTGCATTTTAAAAATCATACATTTCATGAGTAGAACGAAACAATGGCACGTTGACTGTTACGTGGTTCACCCATACTTTCCAACATAAAGGTCCAAGAGTCATATGATGCACCTTTGACTTGGGATCCCTTAATGTAATTTAGCCTTCTGCAACCACCGAGTTCGTCCCTCCCAATCCAACAACTTGCATTTGACATTCTCTAAGCTTGACACACCATTACTTTGATCCTACAAAAACTAAGAGTATATAAGCATACTGCATAACATTCATTCCATTTACCAAATATTAGTTCAACAAAGGAAATGAAAGTATGAATCATAAGAATCAGATTTTACGAAAAAATGGAATAAAACAACAGGACAAGACAGCTAGCTAACTACCTCTCCTAGACCCTACTATAAGCGAAAGTATTAGCACCACATAAGACAAGTCGTTATGGCGGTGAACCACACAAGGTGGTCGGACCATAATGTTTTGGCTATAATACAATTAGCTCTGTTAGGCAAATTGCAGACAAGAACTACTATATGGAAGGAAATATCAAAGGCAAAGACGAGTTATACACATTAGAACTCTCAAAAGACTTGAGAGGAGGTGAGATCATCTAGAGATAGGACACCATGAGATTTGATTCTGTAACCAACTTGTGTGGGGAAAACAAACCGACGAAGTAATAGAATGATGACAGCAACACCCATTTTAAGTAGTGCTCCGCATTTTGACTTTTTTAAGACATAAAAATTTAAGTTTAAATTTTTTTAAAAAAAACACCCAAATAACGAAGGCATGCATATTGGATCAATGCAACATTAGGTTGTCAAGAAAGTAGAAATGAAGTGAAAATGGGAATAGAACTTTCTCAAAAGAACACTGATTGAGAGGTCAAAACCAGCTTGTTCATGCTTCGAGTGGACTTCCCACCCTGACTGAAAATGGAAACGGTTACCTTTCCTAGGGCTAATTTCAACAAAAGCAACAAATTCTTAGATGGCACAGGTAAGGTTGTGTTTGGTTCTTTGGATTTTGATAGAGAGACAAGAAAAGGAAAGGCAAATGTAAAAAGATTCCCTTTTTCGTCTATAAATCTCTCCTTAAATTTAAAATCCAAATACCGCCTAAATGATCAAAATAGCAAAGTAAAAAATGAAGCAAGAGATTTGTAGGAGAAAGGACACACTGATCTCTATAAAAGCAGTTTCATATTTATAACCAAATCATTCCCTATTCCATGAGATTTTCATAATAATTCGGCTTAATGTAATGGAATTCTCAGCCATGCATCAGTCTTCGAAGGACAAATTGGTTAAAGGATTGTTCTACCAAAGCATGCTATTTTAATAACAGATCTTTCAAACTCAACCTCAAGCAATTTGGAATTTGTTTTCCAAACCCATGTTTTGAAAATATGATTTCACTAAAGTTTTGTTCTCAAACTATGACTTCAATCATAATAATTGAGACTTCGAAAAAGAGCATAACTTACCATATCTAAACCAGTTGGAAGGTTTGCAATTGAAGAACCACCACGTTTAGATAATTTCATAGCTTCAATGCTTTCAGTAACATAACCAACTTCATTCACCAAAAAAAACCATAAAAACAATTCATTAAGCATATAGCTACCACATAATTTCAACAATTAAAAACATGAAGAGTAGATAAAAATGTTTTGAAAATACTATTTTCACTCACTGAAGTTCAAAGGTTGTCATGAGGAGTAGATTGGAATAGATTGGAGTAGATCGAAGCCTCTTTGGGAGGGATTGGTACCCTACAATCAAAGATAAACGTGCAAGTGAATTAAATATAAAATAACAAATTAAACATAAACAAATTTTGTGCCGTGACATTATATTATCATGTTTAGCTTTTCCTCTTACATCATTTTGCGTTCTTTCTTTGATAAGCATGGCTCTTATCTCATTGAGTTGTTGTTCTAAGTCCAGCACCTTGCCTTCAAGTTTTCTCACGTGCTCATTTTGGTGTACTTGTGCATCAACCTTAGATGGTAATGCCCCAAATCCCAACCCTCGTACACTCCTACGACCGACGCTCGGGACCAAAAGTATGAAAAATTGCATCATCTTTTATAGATTTTGGACCCTCATCAGTAGAAGCCTTATGAAGTTCTTGAACATTTTTCTAAAAATATAAAGCATGTCTTAATAAATTGATGTGAATGCAAATTATAATACCAAAAAAAAAAACAACATAAATCAAGCTCTAGAATCACAATCCACAAGCCAAAGTTATTTTAAAAACAAGAAACTAAAAAGCCATCTCATAATAGGACATGCATAGCTGACAATACTTAAACAACATAAAACTTAGCATATGAACAAGATTTTTGGACAAACCAAGCATTATTATACATTCACTATTCAACATTTACAAAGAGAAATTTTCGAAAGTGTAAACATTTCATCCCAAACATAGCACTAGAAACCAAAAGCAAGCAAAATCAAAAGATCAGATTTGGGCTTCCAAGCTTGCGTATGAATAAATTTATTTGAGACAAAAATAGAATTTCCCTAACAATGCAAGCTTGCGTATTCAAAGATTACCTTCACAAAGAGCAAGCTTAACCTTCTTTCCCTTGCAATATTTGAAAGCAAAAAGCTCTTATATATCAATCTCTACTAGAAGGATATTAATGGCCTGACGATCTTTCTGAAAAATTCAATTCTCCATAAAATCAAAATGGGGAAAAATAGAAACCTTAATATTCAACAGAAAATAATCACAAAAAATTTAAGCAGAAACCTTAAAATAAAACTGGATTAGTTTCCACCTCACTATATGAAGTATATGAACTTCATGAATCTATGATTGTTAAGTAGAGAGGTAGATCAAATAAGCTACCTAGTACTAGAGAATCATCTCACATAAAACATATGTTTTGCAACTAAAAAATGGGGAAGACAATAATATAAGCAGAGCAAAATGCCACCAATAAAGTTTGTGTTAACATTTTGGTTATTAATCAAAATTTAATTTGTAACCATATTTAATTTACATGTAATGTAATAGTTCAAAGATATACAATAATAATTATTAATTCTATTACAGTTTTTTTTTTTCAATATTTATTCATGCATTGCATGGGTTCAAGGCTAGTTATACATTACTAGTATATAATTCCTCAACAATGATAGAGACCCCAATTTTAGGGACCCCACAACCCCCAAAGTGATTCATACCACTTATGATGTGGGTCTCACACATACATAAATAGTGTAGATCACTTTAGGGTTGTAGTCTCCAAAATTGAGGGTTCCAAAAAATTTGTATACAAAATGTGTAGAAGCTCTCACATGAGAGTGGATCTTCAAAAATAAATTTTCTTAGAGTGATTTTTTAGATGACTAAAATTGAATTCAAACAAAATTTAAAGTACAATAATCATTTCATATTTCAATTATTGAAGCCTATCTCCTTCACTCTATAATTACTATACGAAAAATCACTCTAAAACATTCCGACTCGAGACTCATATATGTGGACTCCACTGAAAAATTTCTGCATAAAGAGTTGAATAATGTAGTCTAAATCTGTCACCTGTAGTTGGTTTGTGACCTTCATTTGTCATGGTAATTTTTACCAGTTTAAGATAAGGTAAGATAAGATAAGATAAGAATAGAATAATAATAAGCGTATGATAAGCGTTCAGCATGTAAGTTGGGTCATACTAATCTATAAGCAAGGGCCATTCAACTTCCCCTTAAACTAAAGGTCAATCAAGAGGTTGCTGTGACTTGGACACAACCGACAACGCCAAATGGGTACAGATAGAGAGAGAGCAACAAATTGAAGCTTTAAATTACAATTACATTGAAGTGAACGACATACCTGAGATTAGATAGGTGAGATTTTTCAGTATTTAGTTCAGAAACAAAATAAAGCAGAAAATATAAGAGAATGGGGTTCAAATGTAAAATGCTTATCATCAAACAAAAAAGTAATAAAAAAATGGGAAAAAAAACAAAACGAGCAGTGCGAAAATTGGCAGAAAACAGAAGCTTTTGATCATGACAAGACAAAACTACCATGGTTCACATGCTTCACTCAACCAACACTGAATCAAATGCTTTATACATTCTAATAAAGCCATCGATTGCGAGATATCAAAACAAAGAGCTTCGAAGACTGGCGATTATTGAATCAGATAAAATAAATTTCTCATATAGACTAAAAGAGATATCTATGAATCCTAAAATTGGGAGATTGATGCAATTTGAAATCAAGAAAAGACACAGTAAGCAACAGTGAGAGAATAAAGAGCAAAGAAGTTGTGATTTCGCCACAAATCACGAATAGTGTAGCAAATTTTCAGAAAACCCGCAATAAAATCTATCAAAACAAAAAACAGAATATGAAAATCGCCTTACATTTTGGAATTGATAGCCAAAATCGAAGAATGAGAGAGAGAGAGAGAGAGAGAGACAGAGACAGAAACAGTAGTGCTCACCTTAGTAGACAATGGTGCTCACTCCTCTCGTCGGTGCAGATGGTGGAGGCGGTGGAGCTTCGAAATCTCAAAATCGAAATTTCCAATCGCTCTGAGATTGGATCTGAGATGAATCACCAATCGCTCTGAGATTAGATCAAACGGGGCTGAAGAAGGCTGATTCGATCGGTTGAGAGAGATTAGGGTTCAGAGAGGGTTGAGAGAGAGAGAGAGAGAGAAGAGAGTGAGAGAGAGAGAGAGAGACACCAGAGAGTGAGTGAGAGAGTTAGGGGCCTAAAATGTTTTTCAGTTTTTTGTTTTAGTTATTGTAATATTTGTAATATTTTAAATAAATTTTTTTTTTACTTTTTAAATTCAAATAATTTACATATATTAAAAGAAATATTTTATTTTAATTTTAATAATGTTTTACTTTTTAATTTCTTTAAAAAAAATCACTAAATTCAAAAAAATATAAAATTTAATACATTTCATATATATATATATATATATATATTATATTTTATTATTTTTTTTACAAATGTTTTATTTTTTAGTTGTATTCAGATTAGACACATCTAAAAAGTAAAAAATAAATAAATTATTAAAAGAAAGAAAAATATCAAATCAAGATAATTTAAAAAAATAATAATTACAAATTAGTGAGAAGCCATATAAATATTAATTATTAAAATTACAAACTTTTTCATGAATGTGTAATTTTTTTTTTCCCCCAAAATCCCACTGGGTGTAATTATCCTTTAAAAGAGACACTAAATTACAAAATAATGTATAAATTATTTTTTATGTTGTCCTCAATTAGGAAAATTTAAGGTGAAAAGCTTGGTTGGAAATTGTTAGCTTTTTTAAATCAAAAAAAAAAAAAATTGGATTGAAATTTTTTTAATAAAAGTTTTCACGACATGCTAATGCATGTCGTGTAAAGTTATAATATTTTACGACATGAAATGTATGCCATCTTAAGTACAAATATTTTATGACATATTTTTGTATGCCGTGAAAATAAACATTTTTTACAGCGTGCTTTTGCGTGCCATAAAAAAAATTCTAATTGATTTTTTTTTTTTTTTTGCAGAAGTTTTCATGACATGTTAATGTATGCCGTGTAAAGTTGTAATATTTTACAACATGAAATGTATGTCGTCTTAAGTACAAATATTTTACGACATATTTTTGTGAGTCGTAAAAACATACATTTTTTACGACATACTTTTGCACGCTATAAATATATGAATCAACGACTTACATAGTATGTATGCTGTTATTGACAAAACATTAACGGCTTACAAAAAAAAAATGCGGTTTAATGTACTAACTACGACATGCATTTAATGCATGTCGTAAACATGATGCCGTAAATAGTTAGTTTTGTTGTAGTGTGACAAGCTTGTATTCGGATAACTATTATTCTAAGAGCATATATTATTAAATTATTGAAAAAATTATTTTGATTTTAAATGTAAGTGATGGGAGATGAGTGAGTTTGAAACTTAAGTGCCACATAATTTTTAAAAATTTAATAGATTTTATAAAAAAAAAATTAAGAATAGAGATTTGGAGGCCTAAGAGCACACCCACTACATTTGCTTATGTATATATGTATATGTATATGTATATGTATATATATATAGTGTAGATATAGATCTTCAAGCAAAAAAAAAAAAAAAGAGATTGAAAGTAATGTGGTGTAAAAGAATGGAGAAATAGTATTGTTGAAAAATAAAAATGTAATGAGAAAGAAAAATAAATAAATATTGACTAATCTTTAACAACCTTAGAAAAAAATAATAAAAATGGTGTGATATTCTCTTGCATGATATAACCTCTTTAGGGATAAGCCAGTTACATATGACATTTAAAAAAAATATTGAAACTATGTAAGGTAGGTAGGGTTTTTTAACCGATAAATGGTTTGGGGAAAGAAGAGAAAGAGTAGAAAGAAATGTTTTAATTTTTTGAAAATTGGTGAGAGAGATTATGATGGGGAAGATTATAGATTTTTTTTTTTATTTTTCCATTTGAAATACATAAATTAAGAAATAATTATGATTTGTAAAATAATTAAAAATCAATTAAATGTATTAGTCAATAATTTTGTAAATTAAAAATTCAATAATTTTGGAATGAACGTTTAGAGCTCTTAGAAGGTTTCTCATTAAAAAATCCATTTTCTTATATAATATATAGATAGATAAATGTGTTAGACATTGAATATTTATAATTTATATATATTTTAATTTATTAGGAATGAGAGTTGTGATTTTTTATTTATTTTTTAAATAACATGATAGAGTGGGAGACGTGATATATGATATTTGTGGATTTATTGAGTGAATTGGTGGTGATGGGTATGGATGAATTTTTTATTATTTTATTTTTATTTTATATGATGAATTTTTTATTATTTTATTTTTATTTTATATTATATATAGGAAGAGGAAATAAGAAGGCTTGAATAGTGAGAATGGAGGTAAAGGGAGGTGCCAGATATATATATATATATATATATATATATTAAAATTCCCAAGATTATGAGAATTTATGAATAAATATTTGGAGACTTTTGACTAGGGCTGGACAGTGGGTTGCTCGACTTGCACAACTCGCCCAATTCGACCCTACTCATAAGGTTTTGAGCAGTTCGAGAGATATGTAGGGTCAGATGGGTGTTGAATTTTAGATAAAATTGCAAGTTAAGGGTTACACTCAACCCAAATCATCTTTCTCACTTATATGAAGCCTTCATGTCTATTTAAAGTACTATAAAGATAACGTGGGATACAAAATAATAAAAACTTAAGACCAGATCATGTTTGTTTATATATATATATATATATATTTGAAGTCCATTTGTGGTTGTCCCACATAAAAAATAAAAAAATAAGAAAAATTACTTGAAGAATTCTCAACTCTTATAAAAGTATGTCAATCCTATCAATTTCATTTAAGCAATAACTAATAAGCAATGCATTAATTATTTGTAAATTTACAAATAAAAAATGCTTGAAAGTAAAGCACAAGTTTGACTTGTTTGGTAATTAAACGAGTTTGAATGAGTTGCAAATTATTGAGCTTCATGAATAGATCTTTTTTTTTTCTTTCCTTTTTTTTTTGTTATAATAAAATCTATATTCTTATATATATATATAAAATAAGAAAGAAAGAAAGAAAAGAAAGAAATAATTTTTAAAAAAAAGGTAAGAAGAAATCAACAAAAAACAAAATTTTCAATTTCATTGAACCGGCTCTTGTTTGCCAGTTCTCTCTAAATAGGCCAGTTTTTAGCTTCAAACAGTTCAAAGGGTATATCCGGACCGAAACCCCGACTGGTGGACTGTAACAACCCTCGTCACTGTTTACCGAATAACCACTAATTACCGTTAAACTGAAACTGATTATGACTGATAAGTGAACTGAATAAACTACTGAACTGACTGACTGAAATTGAAACTAAATTGACTGAGTATACCTGTTTAATTGTAATTCTATCTGTTTGGTCATTTGATTATCTGGTCGTGTCTTTGTGTTTAAATTGCTAATTAAAGGCCTTATCGGCGACCGAACCGGAAACCGATTAGTGTTTTATGATCATCGTGATTTATGTGATTTTATGGTGTGATTACCTGAAAACTGATTAGGTATGATTAAATTAGATTAAAATGAGTTAAATTGCATTGTTCCACTTATTCACAATTTTGCCATCCCTAGTGGATCACTTAGGCAACATACTTGGAGGCTTGTATACTTGTAAACAAAACATTTCTTCTTCCATTTCTTGCACACAACCGACCAAAAGAGTGAGAGTAAGGGAATTGAGTTCAAGTGAGAGTCTAGCTTGGAGACTTGGAGAATTTGTAGGAGATTTGCCTAAATTGAACTTCTACTCTTGTAATTGAAGACCTAGGTAAGGAAATTCAACCCCTCATTATTGTGTTTAAATTGATTCTTGCATGGTTCATGTCTAATTGAAGAGTTAAGTCAAGAATTGGTTCATTAATGTTGAATTGGAGCTCATTCCATGCATGCATGTTTGAATTGTCGAATTTTGAATTAATTCCATGGAGAATTGTCTCATGCATGCTCATAGTTAAGTTAAGTCCATGTTTTCATCTTGTTTTTGGAACAACTGGCTCCTTAGAGCATCAAATTGAAGCTTTGAAATGATTTAAATTCATGCATGTTTGCATGTTTGTTTCAAATTGAGTTGTTTGAAACACCATTGGGCTTTGATTTTACAAATTGAGCTTTGAATCATGTTAAAGTATGAGTTTTGATGTGTTTTCTAGAAAATTGGCCCAAGAGGATCGGAGTTTATGGTTTAAAACTTGGTTTTGAGCTTGCGGTTCAAATCTGGAATTTTCAGAATTTGGACTCACGCTCGAGCGGGGTGACTGGCGCTCGAGCGTGGAAATCGTGCTCCCAGCATTTTGTTCTGTTTTGAAGTCCACTCGAGCGGAATAATTGACGCTCGAGCGAGACATTGTGTCTCATGCTCGAGCGGGAGTCGAGCGCCCAATCGAGCGTGATTTTCGCCTATCCAGCACTTTTGACTGTTTTGCAGAACGCTCGAGTGGGTAAGTCTACGCTCGAGCCAAAACCTTTGTCTGCATGTCCGCTCGAGCGGAGTAACCTACGCTCGAGCGTGACCCCTGTTTTCTAAAAATTCTGAAAATATTTTTCAAGTGCATCTTTGCATCCTCATCTCATCCTAGGCATTCTTAGGCCTAGTTTAAAACATCTTAATAAGGATATAGATGTAGAACCACACCGAGCCAAATTAGGGATTAAGTTATTATCTTTCCCAACTGTGTAGCTTAGTGTGTGTTCAATTTGTAACTGTGTAGGGTTGGCGACTGGGGACGCGCTCTAGCTTTACTGTAGCCCAGAACTCTGTGAGTAACAACTGTGTAAAAATATGTTCAAAATGATTATCTTTTGAACAATTGAACTGTACTGCTTTTTGAACTGATACTGTTGATTGAATGAATGTATGTCCTATATTCTGAACTGTACTGTGGCATCCTTAGCAACTACTGTTTACTATTTACTGTTACAGAGATCTCTATCAGTTCCCTCGTTGGAACCACTACTGTTACTGACTGATGGCCATCATTTACTGTTCGGTCTTTTAAGACCTATTGTTTACTGTATTGTTATGCTAATGGATGTACCACATATGACTGAATGACTGATATACTGAATTAATGAACTGTTTTCATTACTGTAAGGACATTCATTCTTAACCCTTTACGCATTGTGTTATT